TGCCAAATCGCGAGTCGCCGCGATTATGGGGAAATCGCGTAAGGTATGCCCCTTGCCTTAACCAAATTCTACAGAAATAGTGAATGGGTCGTGTGTTAGTAAGCCATTTTATTCAGAACACTAGCTGGCAAACCTAGTTCCGCCCGGCCCTGTAAGTAATATACATATTTGTAATCAGCATGCTTTACCCCTGTCCCAACTCCCAGCCCTGTAGCCCTAACTTTGCGTAAAATCGATAAAATCGATATCAATCGATAACGAAAAGTATCCTATGACACCCGCCCCGCCCCGAAAGGTATGTGGGCAAAGTTTTCGGATCTATTCAAAAATAAAAAATTTCTGTTCGAAACATACGCACAGACAGCCATACAAGGCCTTCGCATATAAGATACTGAATTTCTTGCTTAGCACATTGAATCAAAACAAACTGGCGAAACCAAAACACTGTTTCATATCCAAATCACAGATTCTCCTGTGCATCTTTCCAGCTATATTCTTGATTATTGTTTTGAGTTGTTTATGAAAACGCAGCGAGACAAGGGGTTGGTATGTGGAAGGTTGGACAGAAGCTGGATTTGCTCTAAAGAATGGGAACATACGTCAAGCTTAGCAGGGCTGAACAACAGAACCGAACTGAGCCGGAAGGCCTTGCTTGTTTTGAATGAATCAAATAGATGAGCATTGACTGAGTCTGCTACATATATTTTCCAATGTCATACCCTCGGTTCGATGGTAGCAAAATGCAACGAAAAGTCACGAAGTCGAAATGTTCCGCTATGAGTACCACTGCAGAAAACTCAAAGCCTTGATCCTATGCCTTCTGTATGTGCAGAACTGGGAAAGAATTAAGAGCGCTTTTCATAGCTAAAAGTCAGGACGCCATCGGTATGATGTCAGTCATTGTAGTCATTTCGGGCTAGTGATAACGGTATAAATAAAGTAGAGATGAGTAAAGAAAAGTGTAATCCTTAGACAGATTTTTATTGTATAGAATCCTGACTTGTCGCTGATCTAATGAGCGTTAAAAAGATTTTAGCAATGTCCAGACCGCGAAGACTCATTATTCTGCTTCAAAAATCCTTAGAGACTCAATCCTATGCTCCATGCATATAAGAAAATTTTGAGAAATTTTCATGCTCTCGCAGCAGTATGCATCTTCATGCTCGACCCTTTGATTTCGATTTGAGTGCATAAAACGCTTATTCTCAATCTGTCTTCCTTATCTTCGAGCTCTGCTGGACGGAGAGTTATGAGCGTTTATAGAGCAGAAAATTCAAGGGGGAAGTAGTGTAAAAATGGTCGTAATCTTCTTAGCGCTGAAATGAAGCAGTGGGAGTTATCGGCGCACTTTATGCGACAAACAGCTTAGATAATATATATCTACACTGCACTGCGTCGACTGCGCTAGTCAAAGTTTAGCAACTGATTTATCTCAAAAAACCAATAAGATTTTGGTTCACTGAAAACACTCATGACTGTCCTCCAAGATGGTATGCATCCCATCTCAAAAGCCCACTTCGCAACTATCCCTCCATTGTCAGTGCAGTCAATCTTTTTTTCCTATCACAGTCGTTGAGAACTATGTCGACTAAGAGATGGTGAAGACGTAGCAGTGTAGAACTTACCTCACAAATGAATCCATGCTTGACAAGATCGTGAGTAATCACTAAAGGATCTTCATCATTTGAGAACTCAGTCGTCAACTGCCGATTCATCATGTCTTCAAGTTGCAACCATATCGTGAGCTCACTAAAATGTAAAGAATGAGACCTGTAAAAGCATTGTTTTTATCCAAATTTTACGAACTTTCGAGCGGTTGTGACGCGCATATGGCGAATTGTCCTTGTTTCCCGATGTTGCACAGATTCTTCCGCAGCTGCGGGCGCAGCAGCAGCAGCATCTGACGTCTCAGCAGCATGCGATTGAGTATTCGTCAACGAAGATGTAGAAGGTTCTTCAACCGTAGAAGCTGTTGCAGGTACTCGTGAAGAAGGCTGAAATGGCATGTATAAGAAATAAGAAAGACAATGTTTACTTGTAGAAAATTCCTCTCACCACAGTTGATTTTAAAGGCGGATGAGCTAAAGGAGCAAAAGCGGTCAATGGATAGCCTCCATTTCGAATTTCTTCCACTATTTTTTCAAGATCATGTTGGAACGCAGGAACTTGACAGTAAGCCATTTCACGTACACCAGCTTCCCTTTTAGCCACCGCAGCCACCTAAAGAAGAAATGAACATCGTTATAAAAATCACTGACAAGGTCTGTCCTGAAATCTAACCTTTTCCACATCAGGCACTCGGAAAGCATCATTCGGCAGATCATCGAACAATTTGCAATCAACTATTTTGTGAGCTGCCAGTAACTTCAACGAATGAACCTGAAAACCATTCGATGTGTCTTCCTGATCTACCGTAACTATTAGGTTGTCCCAAAAGTAAACTCCTTTTCTAAA